TGGCAGGCGCCTGTAATCCCAGCTAGTTGGGAGGCTGAGGCAAGAGAATTGCTTAAGCCCAAGAGCTGGAGGTTGCTGTGAGTTGTGACGCCATGGTCACATCGTCCTAGGGCGATAGCTTGAGACTCTGTCTCAAAAATAAATAAAGAAATAAAAAAATAAAATCATGTTGTGAAATCTATAGTAAACAATAAACTTGTTTTTAGGTAAGGAAGAAGAATATTTTATATTACAAAGAGTCTCGTTCTGTTACCCTGGGTTGAATGCTGTGACGTCATAACCCACAGCAACCACAAACTCCTGGGCTTATCTTAAGCCCAGATCATCTTGCCTCAGCCACCTAAGGAGCTGAAACTATAGGTACCTGCTACAATGCCCAACTAGGTTTTTTTATTTTTAGTAGAGAAGAGGTCTCCCTCTTGCTCAGGCTGGTCTGGAACTCATGAGCTCAAGCAATCCACCTGCCTCAGCCTCCCAGAGTGCCAGGATTATAGGTGTGAGCCATTGTACCCAGCATTATATTCTTACAAATCTTGAACTGAACCTTGTGAATTTTGCTTAAGGGGTTTGCTCCATAAGATACATGGAATTTTTATTTAAATATTTGATTTAGATAAAAACTAAAATATAACAAAAGTAATCCCTTTCCAACTTGTACTCACTTACAATGAGTACAGTTTGGTAAAATTATTTAGGTGACTAACCAGTAAGAAATAACAGTGTTGCTTCTTATGCTTCTGATTATTTCTCTTTAAACTTATTATTTTTCACAGAAAATTGAAACTCTCAAAGAGACAACAAATGTAAGTTATGTTTTTGATAAACTCTGATTTTGTATTAGAAAGTGTTTTAAAAAATAGAAAGTGTTATTTCTATTTTAAGCTGCTACTGTTGTAAAAAACAATTCAGATTTTATTTTTATGAATTTTTAGTAAGACCGTATCTCTTTAAAAAAGAAAAGAAACAAAAAGAAAAATCATTTAGATATTTTTCAGTATAGATTAGCAATTTGGGGCATTCTTTGACATTCATAGAATTGCTAACAAATACCTTCATTTGACACTATCAACATCTTAGAACCTCCTGGGTATCCAGAGAGGGTTATTTCTTGTGTGGTATAGACTTGAATCCTGTACATTTGAACTGATTTTTATATTTTAAGTTTTAACTATGAGCATATGACCCTTTTATTGGAAGCAAGTTTCTAAAATTAATGTTTTATCTTTGCAGAGCATGGTAGAATCTATTAAACACTGCATTGTATTGCTGCAGATTGCTAAAGTGAGTAAATTACCTCTGAGTACCTTTGTTATGTGATAGAATTTATGAATTATAATGGCATTTTTCTGTAATAGCCAAGAAACTCAGTTTTGAAACATAGGACCTCTCTATGGTAACTGTACTTACCCTTGGACTTCCTGATACTATTGAACAACTATTGTGTTTACCTACTGCCTTTGGTAACGTAATTACTGGTGGTGACTGGGAAGAAGGGAAGTATGTTTGAATCACCCAAATTTTTACCCATTATAGCTGCTTGCAACAGGGGCATATAATACAAAACCTTTTACAAAAAAGTTTTTCTTAGAAAATAAGAGAATTATATTTTGGCACTTAATTTTCTTATCCACAGTGAAGAGTATAGTAGAGATATATTTTTAAAAATTGTGCTGGTTTTTTTTGGTACTGAGCTATATTAATGAACTATAATTACTATTCTTTACTCACAAAATATGTAATTTTAATTATTGTATTAAAAATGTCACATATATTGTTTGGTTTTCTGAACAATTTTGGCATATTCTACTTAAATACATGGTTTATTGTTTGAAATTTTCAGAGATAAGAATTTTATTGTTTAAGAATTTTTTTTTTAGCTTTTTAAAAATTATTATTTCTACCTGT